AAGGTAGGATAAATATACTTCCCTAATCAAGGTAGATGGATATACTTCCCTAATCAAGGTAGGATAAATATACTTCCCTAATCAAGGTAGATGGATATACTTCCCTAATCAAGGTAGATAGATATACTTCCCTAATCAAGGTAGATAGATATACTTCCCTAATCAAGGTAGGATAAATATACTTCCCTAATCAAGGTAGATAGATATACTTCCCTAATCAAGGTAGATAGATATACTTCTCTAATCAAGGTAGATAGATATACTTCTCTAATCAAGGTAGATAAATATACTTCCCTAATCAAGGTAGATAAATATACTTCCCTAATCAAGGTAGATAAATATACTTCCCTAATCAAGGTAGATAGAAAGACTTCCCTAATCAAGGTAGATAGATATACTTCCCTAATCAAGGTAGATAGATATACTTCCCTAATCAAGGTAGATAGAAAGACTTCCCTAATCAAGGTAGATAGAAAGACTTCCCTAATCAAGGTAGATAGATATACTTCTCTAATCAAGGTAGATAGAAAGACTTCCCTAATCAAGGTAGATAGAAAGACTTCCCTAATCAAGGTAGATAGATATACTTCCCTAATCAAGGTAGATAGAAAGACTTCCCTAATCAAGGTAGATAGAAAGACTTCCCTAATCAAGGTAGATAGATATACTTCTCTAATCAAGGTAGATAGAAAGACTTCCCTAATCAAGGTAGATAGATATTCTTCCCTAATCAAGGTAGATAAATATACTTCCCTAATCAAGGTAGATAGATATACTTCCCTAATCAAGGTAGATAGACATTCTTCTCTAATCAAGGTATATAGATATACTTCCCTAATCAAGGTATATATATATATATACTTCCCTAATCAAGGTAAATAGATATACTTCTCTAATCAAGGTAGATAAATATACTTCCCTAATCAAGGTAGATAGATATTCTTCCCTAATCAAGGTAGATAAATATACTTCCCTAATCAAGGTATATAGATATACTTCCCTAATCAAGGTATATATATATATACTTCCCTAATCAAGGTAGATAGATATTCTTCCCTAATCAAGGTAGATAGATATTCTTCCCTAATCAAGGTAGATAGATATACTTCCCTAATCAAGGTAGATAGATATATACTTCCCTAAAATCAAGGTAGATAGATATACTTCCCTAATCAAGGTAGATAGATAGATAAATCCCTAATTAAGGTAGACAGATATACTTCCCTAATCAAGGTAGACAGATATACTTCCCTAATCAATGTATATAGATAGTACCTTGATTAGGGAAGTATATCTATCTACCTTGATTAGGGAAGTATTATATATATATACTTCCCTAATCAAGGTAGATAGATATACTTCCCTAATCAAGGTAAATAGATATACTTCTCTAATCAAGGTAGATAAATATACTTCCCTAATCAAGGTAGATAGATATACTTCCCTAATCAAGGTAGATAGATAGATACTTCCCTAATCAAGGTAGATAGATATATTTCCCTAATCAATGTATATATATATATACTTCCCTAATTAAGGTAGATAGATAGATAGATACTTCCCTAATCAAGGTAGATAGATTTACTATGTGCGCCATCTCACGGCCCGGACCCTGCACTCCTACTCTCCTGCTTTCTCTCGCCCCTCTCTCTGTCTCCGTCTCTCTCTCTCTCTCTCTCCTGCGTTTCCTCTCACGCCTATTACGTCATCCCCCTCCCTCGTGACTCATCTTACAATCGTTATCTTGTTAAAGCACCACATCGCGGCCATACCTACCTGCTATACGCCCCCCCGCCCCCACCACCCCTCTACCCCCCTACATGATTTCCACGCACGAGTGCATTGTTTCACGCGCTGAAATTTTAGCCTGAGCCTGAGGTGAATAGCAGCTTTGTTGTTTTCGGAGCGCGGGACCCCCCCCCCACCCCCCACCACACACACACACCCGGGCTGTACCTCCCTTGTTACTGCAATCAGCTTCTCTGCCGATAGCTGCATCCTCACGCACCCCATCCCCTATATTTTGCCCGAGCCACGATATATCTAACTGAAGCCATCTCCACCCATCCCATACCTTCCCCTCATGCAATATATTTACCTAGTCCCAATTCCACCCACCCCAAATCTTTCCTCCAAATACAATATATATCTAACTGGACCCATCTCTACCCATCCCATACCTTCCCCTCATGCAATATATTTAACTAGACCCATTCCCATTCATTTCCCCTTGCCCACACAGTATATCTAGCAAGACCCATACTCATCCATTACCCCTCCCCGATACAATATATCGAACTATAGGCCCATCTCCACCCACACAACAGCTTTCCTATACAATATATCTTACTATACCTATTTTCACCCATACATCAGCTTTCCTATGCAATATATCTTACTATACCTATTTTCACCCATACAACATCTTTCCTACAAAATATATCTTACTATACCTATTTTCACCCATACAACAGCTTTCCTATAAAATATATCTTACTAGACCAATCTCCACCCATCCAACACCTCACTCTATGCGACATATTTAACTAGACCCATCTCCATCCGTTTCCCCTGCCCACTGCCCAGTACAATATATCTAGCCAGACCCATCTCCACTCACCCCACAGCTTTCCTATACAATATTGAATATATCTTACTAGAGTCTAGACCATCTTTCATCCACCCACACCTTCCCCCAGCCAATAAATAAAACTAAACCTCCACCCTCTCTCCCGGTTCTTTTCCCCCAGCCAATACATCTAACAAGAGCTATATCTCCTCGTTCATGTCATGCTGCTGCTGCCGCTGCTGCTGCTGCTGCTGCCGCTGCTGCTGCTGGTGCTGCTGCCGCTGCTGCTGCTGGTGCTGCTGCTGCCGCTGCTGCTGCCGCTGCTGCTGCTGCTGCTGCTGGTGCTGCTGCCGCTGCTGCTGCTGCCGCTGCTGCTGCTGCTGCTGCCGCTGCTGCTGCTGGTGCTGCTGCTGCCGCTGCTGCTG